TCAGAATGACCTATGTCGATTTCTCGTGTCGTTAATTAAGAGGAACCGTTTTACGAAGTTGAGTCACAATAAATTCCTCCCGAGGAGAAACAAGCCTTCTTGTTTTAATTTTCCCTTTTATTGGCGAGAACATTTTACTGCCGACTTTAACGATTATGAGCCATAAATTTGTTTCCGGCCACTTGTGTGTGTGCGCATGTAATTTCAATCCCACGCGCGCTCGCCTTCTTACCTCGATTTTTATCTCGCCGAAATTTATGACGCTCGCGGCCACGCGATAGATTTGTCGTGTTGCGTCCGGCGGCCGTTGTGTTATGCGACTTGCGCCGCCGGGGCTCTCCCGGGCATTTCCTGCATTTCGATCGGCGGCGGAGAAGACCCCGAAGGACCCCGCCGGCATTCTCGGAAACCGTCCGTGCCGCCAAAAGACTGCGGTCGATCGGCTAGAGCCGATCGTTCACCACCGTATCTCGCCACGAATTTAATTAGGTGTGGGACAAAGTTTCTCCAACATGCCTGCGGTAGAAGCGGCGAAATTTATCGCGCTCCTCAAAAGGTTGTTCCGCGACTATTCGGGCATTACGACGTGAGAAACCTTACGATACGCGTTACACGCCCAGTTTTACGCTTCGTCTATGCTTAACGTAGATGCTTAAACGGGAAATAACCAAGACGGGATATATCTTGAGCATAATTCCGTTTCGCCTTTTAGTAGGTGATGTAATAAATTAATTCGTCTGATCCGACCGAGAGAATTCGGCACCGCCGAGTCCTTCAATGCGACGTCAAAATTCCGACACAGCGCATTCTGCGTAAAAATCTCGACGGCGAGTCGCAGATTACCGATCGAATCTACGTCGGAAGCGATGAATTGCGTGCTAAGATGCATCTGTCGGCTTTGTCGAGCGGAGCTGCCGGTTCGAGCCGCTCTGACTTGCGACGTCTGGTGTGAAGGCCGGCGAAAGAAGGGCTAAACGCCAGACGGAAAAAGGTCGAGAGGCAGGTAAATCCTGGCAAATGACGGGATCTGTCCGGCTAATGTTCCGACTAATGTCATTCACCGCCCGGCCCTCCACCGTGAACATTCGCGGTCTACGGATATTTTCCACGGAAAACTGCACGCGTTGCGCCACGGAAAATTCGAGAAAAACCCCGTGATAAATGGATTCGATACGAGAGGTTATCGCCGATGTCGTAAATCAACTGCGGTTACAGTCGGTAGCTGCGACGAATCTGTCCTCGCAAAATAAATAAATTTCGAGGGACAAAGAATAGGAGACTCGAGGACTCGGGTATGTTTAATGGGGAAAAGGAGAAGAGCCGGCGCAAACAAATACGCGAATAAAAGCGTGCGATTTACATATATTACACTGGTCACATGCGTAATAAATTTCGTATCATAAAAATCGTTATCTTTTCATTCTATTTCTTTTTACCATTTATGTTTATGCGCGATCCCACGATTCTTGCATGCGCAATCACGTATTATTTCTTCAAACGGAATACTTCGTTTTCCTGTTAATTTAATACATAATAATAATAATGATTCGGACGTGTTATCGACGTTAAAAAAAGATAAGACCATTAGAAAATAAAATGGAAGGCTTTTCTGAAGAAAAGCCAAGAATCCAAAGGGGAGTCGCTCGCTTCAAGCGATCCAATCATCCCGATCGTTTATCGGATCCCGCAATGTTTATCAAATCGTCGTTTTTGCCGCTTTTGGTGGTTTAACGTCGACTTTGGCCACGACCGCAACCTTCTCGAGGCGCTTCCCGCAAATCTCGCAAAAAGCAGGGAGTACCTGCTCGCGCGCGATTTTACCAGCCGATCGTGAGCGAGCGCTCGTTAAAACTTGAAAAATATTGAGAACGCGCGACTTGCATCGCGCGCGCGCTCTCGTCCATTCTTTCCCCGTCGAACAATTCACACCGTGCCGGCTCTCTCCACCCTCCTCGTACCGCTCGTCTCTCTCCTCTTCTCCTCGTCGGGTGGTGGTAACGAGCCGCGGTTCTCTCTCCTCTGCATCCCGGAGCGGCCAAGTGGGCCTAATGAAGACATCTCGGTAACTCGGCAGAAAGAAGCGAGAGGCCCCTTCGGAGCCGCGCGCACCGGTCTATCCCAAGGTTCCAAATCACCCGCACAATGGTCGACTTCGCATCTATTGTCGGGGCAGGCAGGGCCGCGACCGGATCGGTCCTGCCTATAATGGCGCGCATCGGTGCCAGTATTGTGCCGCTTCCTGAAAAGAGGATAGAGGTTACCCCTGCGGTGATCTATGGGCCGAAACCTCCTCGTGTTATCGGGGAGCAAGGACCCTTAAGAAGAAGTCTATGTGGGAGAGAAACTCACCTTCCACACCCCTCCCGCTACCTACCTACCTACCTCATCACGGGTCAGTGCGGATCGTACGCGAAACCAAATGCGTGAAAAGGATTTCATAGAGGGAATTCGAACGCGAAGCACCACGTCGATTCTCTATTGGCTCGGTTCGGGCCGTTTATGTCCGTTAGGCATGGTGCTTGTTCCGCGGTGGAGGACACGCGATTCGCGGTTTCTTCGCCACCCTGAGAGCCGTCCGTGCGATATTCACCAGCGACGTCGAAATACCGCGTGAGAAGTAATTCGATTAAAGGTTTTGGTGGAAGCGTTCTTTTTAGTCGCGCCGCTTTTGCACCGGACTTCGTTCCTCGTCCCTTCAACAATGAGAGAAAAGTATTTGGTATTTGTAATTGTAACATCATAAATATATACATCATAAATATATAATATATAATATATATACATCATAAATATATACTAAAAGAATTATTAGTCAAGAGAACTATTTTTCTAGTAAATGTTACTATAGCATCAATGATAATAACCTTACATACATATTGCTGCTATTTTTACGCTCAAACTTTCGACATAGAATACATATATATGGAATATGTACAAATATTTTATGTCTCGAGATTAAACATTCAAGTTTAAAGATCAAAACAACAAGAATGCCCACGGTTAGGTACATGTCCAGGCGTTAGTACTTTTTTACCTTACACAATTTCTGATACCGATTGAAACATACGACAGCAAACTTGTAAAAACTCGGTTTACGTATACTCGTTATTCTCTCTCTTTGTGCCTTTTAGTTAGGCGTTTTCTCACGAATAGAATAGCCAAATAATTCGAAAGATCTGTAATCAGTACGTGAAAATGAATTTTATTAGTCTTTCTATTCGTCCCCAGCACGACTCTTATCGACATTATTGGGATTCTACGGCGGAATCCGCGGGCATTTCGACGGGCACGCGAGCGCAGCGCGAGAGCCGGCAGGCCGGGGCGATTGTTAGTTAATAGCTGATGGGTAATCGCGCCCGGTTTACAAACAATACGATCATCACGAGTACAATGGTGCAGTTGTGTGACCGCTACGTTGAGGGAGCTGAGGGGAGGGGGGGAGAGAGATTCATCGCGCGCGTCGATGCGCGGTCTGACCGGCACTGTCGGGATCGTAATAATTCCAGGCGCGTACGTATCATATAGTGAAATCGTGCGACGCACGGCCGCGTGATAGGTGGTAAACTGGTATCTGGTACCTGGTGATTTGTAACTGGTAGCCCGCCGCGGCCGGGCTAATCCCACAAAGCGGGCCGACCTTAGAAATTTCTGGACAATTTATTCCGTGGCATGCGATGCGTAAAAAGGACACCGCTCGCGCGCGGCGGTCGACACGACGACGCTGTCACCAACGCCGGGCAGCGAAGAGCGGAGAAGAGGCCGAAGAACAGGAGCACGAAAACGTGCTGCGGAATTAAGCGCTCCGATTCTTCACCGTCCTCGATTCTCGGACATTCCTCTATTCACGGTTGTGATGTTTCCGAGGGACAATGCCTCCTCTTGGCCTGTCGATTGTCGGCTCACACTGTCAAACGAGATATTGGCTTTCAACGTTGTCATTGGTATTGCATAATTTTTCTCGTGCGTTTTGAAATAGGGATGGAAGACAAATCTGTCGATGCGACGAAACCTTCCGTTGTTTGGGCACCGGGATGGAAAACTCGGTGGTAGAAAAGATTAGTGTAGGAAAACGAAAAGACTACCGTAGGCGGTAGTTCCACTCAATCAATCGCTCTCGATTGTCCCAGTCGAGTTTTAACACGGTCGAATGTTCGCGCGCTCTCAGCTTGAGAGTATTTGTACAACACAACTTGATTTTGTAAGAAATTTAGGTATCTCTCGGCGGTTAAATTCCCATCGATCAAAAATGGATCGATAATGCCACGTTGATGTACACCCGCCCAAATATTGAGTTTTGCAGGAAAACAACGGTCATTATCCAGTGAGAATTTTTATCGAACAGCTAAAATGACGATTAACAGTTACCGTTTAACTCAAATGTGACTTCGTAAGAAAAAAATTATATAATGAAGAAAGCATGAAGTTAATAACTTTTGACTTAGTTGATTTTCAATAAATTACAACTTTTAACTTAAAATAGTTACTTAAAATGTTAACATTAACGTTAACTTTAACTAACTATTTTACGTTACCCAAGGACGGCGCTTCAGTTCAGTCTGAAATAGAAAAATTTCCCGGAACAAAACGGATGCTGATAGACTTGAAATCGACATATTACACCAACATACATTCTGTTAACGTAACTATCACGTATATATTTCCATATTGCTACATGTGCTATATTGCAATTACGTTGAGTACGAAATTATAACATCGATGTTATCACTACATTTGAATTATTATTACATTTGAAATTATATAGCCGTGATTAAACGTGTTGGCTGGGAGGATATCACTTTTCCTCGCCGAGCAGTCGTCTGCAGGAAGCGAATTCTTTTGTTCCGTTGTGCGAAACGGACCAATCAAACGGACCAATCAATGGCTGTTTTCCTCAAAGCAAACGAGAAGGCGATGATTCGAGCGAGTGAAGAATCAATCCTCGAGGCACGCGAAAGTAAGTAACGTGACAGACGTTCTCCAGAGAATCGACTCTCATTTACGTTCGCAGATGCGTCCCTGGTGTTGATGCTGTCTCCGTCTTCGCCGCTGCCTCCTGCTTCTCCGTCATTCCTTCTTTTTTACTCCTCCACCGTCTCTCTCTCCCTCGTATCTCAATCTAGACCCCTCATCATGTTTTAATTTCACGGCCGGCTTTCCCCTCGCTCTGGATCCCTTCCGCGCCGCCAGCAGCCGGTGCCAGATAGAAAGGTGAAAAGGAGTGGAAAGAGAGGGAACGAGCCTGTGTAGGTACGACGGACACGGCAGGCGGGCAGGGATGGGTGCGAGGGAGACAGGATGTCTCTCTGCCCCCACCAAATTCAAGAGAACGGGGGCGTCACCCCGAAGTCCCTTCCGTACCGATAGTGGGACTCCCTTTATCCAAACGCGGACGGCAAAAACAAGCGGGGTAAAGAGAGACGGGGTAGACCACTTCGAAGAGATGGCAGGGGAGGGGGGGCAATCCGAATGGTAGTAGTGGCTGCTGTGCACACGCCACGAAAACCTTATCCCCACTGTGTACACCTTCCACCAGCGTTCTGTACTACGTCCCTTCTGCGTCGCACACCGAGCGTACGTCACCTGCCTTTGGTCATCCAAAGTGCCGCTGCGAAATGGCATAAAAGACGTGGCTTCTGCGAGGGGAGAGTACGAAAGTTCCAATTTCTTGCGGAACTAACGTTGTGTGTGTGTGTGTGTGTATGTGTGAGTGTATATTCTAAAGAGGAGTACTCATTCTAATGGCATTCTACCACTTGTCCTCGGACCGACACCGAGACCATTCGACTATTTCTTTTCGTCACACTTCACGTAAATACTGTTTTCTCATACTGATTCGAAAACCTGCTCCTGCCCGGACCAGTTCTCGCCATTGTTTCCCCAGCTTGCCGACTTATTTGTGCAATAGTTGACTTCACAGACATTTATACCACAACCAGTCCGCTAACTTCTTTATTTCCGTGCATAAAAACATGGATTTTATATTACGACATGCGTGGAGTGAGAGATAAATACATCTGATTTGTTGAACACATGTAAGTGCCGATGCCTGTGCGTGCCTACAGACACATGCGCCCATAGTCCGTAGACGTATATTTACATAACATTCACCTAGAGAGCCTCTAGGAGAGAGGTGCCAACAGGATCACGTGAACCATGTACTTTGTCATGCTAGCTAATCACCAGCAGCTACCGACTGTCTAACACTCTCTAACACCTTCCGACACAAACGCATCATTGTATCCATATAAGCGGGAATAGAAGTAGAAATTACGCCAGCTAATCACAGAATAGTTCATCATGTGACCCCGTTGGCGCCTCTCTCCTACTAGAGACTCTCCTACATTCAACCAATCAGACTTGACATACTACATAGATTACACACGCGTGAGAATTTTAAAAGGAAAAGGTATGTCGATTTACCGCACCTATGTCAGGTTTGGTGCTTCTCCTCTACATATATTCTGGAACCATGTTTTATCAGTCGAGTTAGCAGTCTAGTTGTTATATAGATATCTGTGGGTCGATCACGACGCAAATGCGAACTGGTCTTTGTTTTTTCTTTTCTGAGTCGTTAATCCGAAAAAATCATCAGATATTGTGTAACCAGACATTTGTTCGCCGGCCGAATTCGCGGAACACGAATTGTTCCGTCCCGTGTCTCCCTTATCGTGTTTCGCCGTCGAGGCGACAAAGACCCCACCGGTCGGCCTCAGTACTGATTGCACAATTTTCAAACAAAGACGCGAGCAATTACTTCGCGACAGCGTGTCACAAAGGCTTCACGCTTGACGGACTTTGTGAGAACCGACGAGCACTAAGAGTTCGCGCTACAAATTAAGTCATTTCAGGTTGTCGCTCGTGATCAAGAATGATTTCGGCCATTATTTACTCGCCGTGCCACACTCAAAGGGCCCACATTTCATTTGCAAGCGCGTCCAATTGTCATTCGCGTTGGCGAAGAGCACGATATTCCTCTCCGACACAAACCGTAACTGACATAGTTAAGTTCTTGTTTAATATTCCTCGTCTCAAAAACATTGTGGTTTCAAAGTTCCCCTTCTTCATTTTTCTCGGTATAGCTACTATTTTTTCGTAGCGTCTAAGAAGACGCGGGGGATTTGGGGGACTCCGCGCCTCAGCTTGTAAAAACGTAAAAATCGGCCGGAACTGAGGAAACGGCGAACGCGAGTTAAATTGCTGTCGCGGTTGTCACGCATGGAAGCACTCTAATAAGGTCCCGCGGCATAAATAAAGTCATTTGCGGTAGGTGTCGTGACCGTAGTCCTCTTAAAAGTCAGCCCTTTCATGCATGCGGGTAATTGAATAGTGAGTGCAGCTTCCTGTTCGATTTCTACGAATGCAGACCAACGACTGGCAGGGACATTGAGTGAAACGATATATCTTGGACATTTCTTTTTTTTTTTAATAAACTCGCGCAATTCGTATATATGCATTTGAGGACGGGATCGAAATCGATGACCGAAAGGACTTTTTTTATCTAATATTGACTTAGAAGACGATTATTTAATCCTTTTATATAGGAATCTTCCCGTTTCTACAATCGAGAATTTTCGTCCTTTCTCCGAACAACGGGAAATTCAGAAGTTTTTCCCGTGTATAAAGTTTAATTCGTCGGAGGGGGATCAATGGCGAGCTGAATTCTCTTTCCGGCGACTTTGCGATTGTCTGCCACGGCTGGCGGAGAGAAGAGCCCTAATAAGGGCCGACGGTATAAATAAAGTCATTTGTGGTAGTCGCCGTCCCGGTTCGCCGTGTAGTGCCCGTCTTCGACGAATCGGGCCTTTCATCGCGTCCAGGGGAGATCGCGGGGCCCGATGGAGCAGCCCGTCGAATGGAACTCCGGAGAATTGGTTTGTTTTGTGGATTAGACTCGTGTTTTAGTCGCGACCCGCGACGAATCGCGAAACGCGGCCCGGCGCACGTCGCCGCTTTTTCTCCCCGCCTCGAGAGCCGCCTCGTCCTCGGCGACGACGGCGAGCCGTAAAGAGGACCGCGGCCGAATTGCTTCCATAAATGTTGAGCATAATCGAATTTGCGAAACAATCGGCTGGCCGATTCGGGAATTAATCAAATCGTCGTTCGCGATTTTACGGCGTGTCGCTGCAGGGAAGGAGGGATATGTGACGTTGTCAATGAGCGAGTCGGAGGATGCAAGATGGAGAAGACATGAAAACTTGTGTTTACAGCGTTAAAGATTTATTATAAGAATAAATAATTAGTATGTGTGTGTGTGTGTGTGTTTATGTATGTGTACATATATATATATATATATATATGTATATATATACACATGTATATATGTATATTATCTGCAGGAGATTCTTACATAAAGTCTTAATGGAGACGTTTTAGTAACTTATATCGATGAATGCCTATCGTAGTAGTAAGTGGTGGTTCTACTTATGACATGTCACTCGCACTGTATATAATCGATGACATCAGCGCGTCGGTCCTTCCTACCGTTTCTCCGATCCTCCTCCCCCCCTCCCCCCGGGGATGTGTCAACCTTCTCGAATCGACTTACTTTCCGAGTTCCCTGTTTTCGAGATGATGCCTTCGATTTACATTACAAGATCTTCGTTACATCGACAAGATAAAAACTTGAAGAAATTCGGGGGATGCATATAAAACGTGGGTTAATTGAATCGATTTGGAGTACTTATGTTAAATCATTTCTTGAGTATGACGAACAGGTACGTTTTTTAAGACATGCCGTTACATTATTGACTTTTATTAAAAGTACGTATAAGTATACACATGCGCTAAACATACAAAATTACAATAGTATTACATGGAAAAAGATTCCGAAGGAGGGAAAGAGATATAAAGAGAGACAGAGGGAGGATATTTACAACGGGATAATATTTCTATATATATATAAATAAATAAATATATATATATATATACACATATATTTATTTATTTATTTACATATATTTATATAAGGTATAATGGGAAGGGAAAGGTTCATTTGGATGTAGTAAAGGAGGACAGAGTTAGTATAATATAACTTTAGAGATACGAGCATCGTTGCCTTCGTCGTCTCTTAAATCGCGGCAGAACTTAATTTACCCCGCGCGGGCGGGACAATCTTTTGGTTGAACGTAGACTCATGGAGGAATCATGACGCATGTATACACCTGCCCTTCGTTGCGCTGCCGTTTACGCTACCTAACTGAGCTAACCGTAAAATACATACATCGCGCGCGTCCCGCTCGCTTAAACGCGTCTCGTTTGCTCTTCCTTGGAGTCTGACAGACAGCAACGTTGCTCCGGCTTCGTCCCAGTTCTCTCGAATGGTCTAAAAGGAGAACGTATTTTCCCTCGAAGAAGTGTCGGATGTCGAAATACGCGGTTTCTTTATCCTCTCGTTTTCCCGAACCATCGATTTCTAAGTCGGACGTTGCGTCGGCGGATTTTCGCCGCTGTTAATATTTCCTTTCAATTTTTCCGAACACGAGATACGTAATTAGACAACACTTTCTGGTAAAAAGGTCGAAGGTGTGGAACATGAGGTGGGGTTATTCAAAACGAATGCACTCGGAACGACACTCCTTGTCGTTCTCGACAGCAAGTTCGACCGCTCCGTGAAGAACGGAGCCTCGCAACACGAAGCCGGGCAACATGACGTGACTCGTCGACAAATAGACTAAATAAACAAACAATAACAACAATAATAAAATATATTCTCTTCTTACGGCCGATGCGGGAGCATCGAGCTTCCTCGTCGTGCTGCTCGTGCGCAACAACATGACGCCATCCCCAACATTTTATGACACTGTTGCGCCATGCGTGCACGCGCATGGCGAGGCTGCGACGTATCGAAGTATCGTACAGGAAGACGAGGAAGAGCTTCTTCCTCCGAGGAGCCTTCCCTATTTCATTGGTTGTATTTTGGCACGGAATTGAGTCACGCGCGCTCATCCTTCGCTTCGGGACGAAGTTATGCGCAAGATACGATTGATCGTCTGTGATCGTGCGAATCACGAATCCTCGGGGAGATTCCACGAATGAAAAGAGGAGCGTCGATAATCTCTCGACGATTCCCGGCACCGAACGATGTGAAATTATTGCTCATAAGTAACCATACAAGTCGGTGTTTCGTTACGGCGCCGAGGAGGTGGAAAATGATAAAGCACGGCGCGATCGCGTTCTAATAATAAATAAGTGCAGACGACGGGAGTGTCAGTCTTTCGTTCTTTTTTTCGCTTTTTTCCCTTTTCACGTTATAATCGCAAATTTCGGATCGATATTTGGGTGGTAATTTGTAAGTCCACGGAGGATACCGTCCAGCGGCTTCGTCCGCGATCAATCTTCTCATACGTCGTGACTCGTTCTCGTTTTGAGCGTCTAGAGCGAATCGAAGTTGGATTCCCGATCGCTGGTCTGTAACAAACATCGGTCAGTAATATTTCTCGACGAGATCCCGCAATCCTTCGCGTCTTGCAACTCGATCGAAAGCAGCGTTTAAAAAGAAAAAAAGCCTCGCCCATTTTGGACTACTCGCGGTTAATAATGAATCGCGTGTTGATTGATAGAATAACGATAGGCTGCGGAAAATGTCGGATACCCGTTGCTGAAAAGATCGTCGAGATCGGCAGATTTGCTTAAGAAGTTAAGCTCCCTCATTTGGCGATTCTAATGAAAGGGAAACGTTTTCGGGCTTTTCTTCTCCGACACGCAGCGTAGCTCACGTCCAAAGACATAGCCAGGCCGATAACAACGGAAGATAGGTAGCTTCAAGTTCACATTCCAAAGCGTGAATTTTTGTTACTCAAGCTTCGAATCGATTCTGACTAGGCACGAGTGAATATTTCAATTGATCTGAGCGAACTTGTCCCCGCGACGGTGAAAGACATCAGACTCTTCAGGGAAACTTGAGGGAAAACACTCGCTGGGCGATTCAGAGTAGAGAATTCACTCTGTACGAGTAAGTGAAAAGTCAGTCTCGAGTCCGAGTGACTCGATGATCGAGTTCTGCTCGTCGAGAAAGTCTAGGAATGAAATCCTCTTACCCTGTCCGGACTGTACAACGGCGGATGCTGTGCCGGGAGTCTCAGTGTGCTGCCTAAATCCCGCTCTGCCATAGTGTGGCCTTCACTGGCGCTGTCCCTGGTGTCCTTGACGCTGTTCCTGCGCGCAGCGGCGACTTTCGTCGGCGGTTGAATCGTCGTCTCGCCGCAGGATCTCGCCAAAGTGGAGCCGGCTTCTCCCAGGTCCAGTCTCAGCAGCTTCGTCGGTGCTTGAATGGTCGTTTCGCCGCACGATCGGGCCAGAGTCGAGTCGAAGTCGACCTGAAGATCCCCGCTTCTCAGCACCTTCGTCGCCGTCTCCACGGTGGTCTCGCCGCAGGATCGCGCCAGAGTGGACTCCGCGTCGACTGTGCGGGTCACCGTCGCCGACACCTGCCGATAATGAGATTTCCCTGGATCACACCGGTCCCGTTGCTCGGTTCTTATCGGTCGTTACTACCTCGACGGGAGAATCGTACCTGAAAACCGGCGCTCACGAGGGCGCCCGTGGGCGTCACCGGGTTTCGCGCACCTTGCAGTTCGGCCTCCTTGCAGTCCTTCGCGCTGGATACACTCTGTTTCCTGTTCGCCGAGGAGTGCACGCCATTGTCGAGGTAATTGATGAGCTTGTGCTCCTCGGCGGCGAAAGTGCTCATGCAGGCTTTGTAATTCTGCGGCGACTGCGGTGCCGATCGGTATTTCGCTCGTGGTATCATCACCGTCAACGAGCGATCGCGCTGATCGTCGTTAACCGGTATCGCTGTGGACACGCATTTCAGATTTATTCAACGGAAATTCAACGGATCCGCGGTTTTCATCGCTGTTTATTGATATCACGGTGTATCGCTGTGTCGCGAAAATAAGAAGGACCGCTTCAGGTGGAGTAAAGAAGTGACGGAACTTACCAGCAGCTGGTACCATCGTGGCTTTCCTCGGCGGATGGCGAAGTTTCCCACTGATCTTGCGAATCGGCCGCTTATTCGTCGGCGGCAACGGTGCTATCATCTGCGGCGGCGGCGGTAGAACGTGCGGCACGTGATGCGGTATCGCCAAGTCGGTGACGCTACCTTCGCTGCTGGTGTCACCGCCGGCCCCGGGAATCATCGCTCGCCGGTCGCCGGTCTTCCGGTCGCGTCCCGGCTGCCGGAAGCACGCCATCCCCACGCAAACCGCCAAGAGACCCAACAGGATCGCTCCGGTCGTCACCAGAGCTATCAGCAGAACTGTCGAAAGATTTGACTTTGGATTTTCGGAAACCCTCCTCCAACTCTCGCTTGACATTTAGTACCAAAGATGTCTCATCTTTCATTCTTTCATTCTTTCATTATCAACCCGGCAGATACAGATATGTACAGGTATATATAAAATATTATATAATTAAATAGATCTTTATTATTCATTTTTGTAAGTAGAGATTGAGACCAGCTGGATAGACGTTAAGATTTCTTCAAAATGAAAGAGAGATCGTTAAACCAGTGATTCTTCTCTGGAAAATGCGTTATCTAAATTTCAAATGTATCGAAAAATGTGTCGAAGCATTGGGAGCCTGTTCTATAATATGTCGGAATCGGGTGTCGGAACGTAACCGATGCTCCAATGAGAGAATTTATTTTTCGAGAATTGGTTCTGTTCATTAGACAACTGACGGCGTTCGGACATTCGACTCCGACGGCTGTAAAAGTATCTTTTCCACGACGCCGATTAAATGTGCGAGCTGCGGCTTGCTTCGCGCTGTATAATGAATGTCACCATCAAAGTCGAGTGACAAATTTAACCGAATTTAGGCGGGTAATAAGCGGAGGTTAAGGTCACCAACTTACGTCCTCCTCCAAACTCGACAACTTTTGTCTGAACATATTTTCGATTCGACTTTACTCTGCGAAGATAAAAGGTGTGAAAGATTAAAATGGGACACCCTGTACAACAGCTATATCCCGCGTTTGTTTCGGGGATTCGCTTCTGATCTCACCTTTGAGATTAACTTGGCAACGTTGGCCGCTGTGCCAGGGGAAGCATTCGCACACCTCTTGGCCGAAGGAGTTGGTGACGCAGTGACCTTTGTTGTTACAACCGGCGCATCCTAACGGTGCCTGCGAGCACACTCTTCCGGGATACGCCGAATTTTCCGACAGATCGGCCCAGCCTTCCATGCAGGAGCACTGGTATGATCCTCGTAAGTTGAAGCATGCCGCGTGAGGCGAGCAGTCGTGATGCGGCCCACCTTCCTTGGAAGCGCATTCGTCGAAGTCGACCGCTTCGATCTAGATAAAATTCCAAATTTTAGATATCAGCGTCTGATTTTCGATATCGGTGCGATAGAATCGTTCTTTTTTGTGCCGCATTCTCCAAATTTCTCGGGGTGAAATCTCGTTAAAAGTAAGCGAAAAAATGGTATTTTCGTTCGAATCAGTCGGTGAAATTATTGTCACCCGAAATTGCAAGGGTGGATGTTTCATTCAAACTTATAGTGGATTCTGATTCCATAGAAAGAAACGTTTTATTGGATAAGAAGGTGAATATGTATGCGTTCCTGTGACGAATTCGAGTGACTCGGTAGTTATTGGACTTTTCGAGTTCGACTTCACTCCAAGAAATTTTCAGAGCTGCTGCAGCTGATTCATCCGTCAACTCACCATGTCGAGATTCTTCGAAGCGTACACCTCCGTACCGCCTAAGCTGTAATTGCTTCCGACCAGATATTTTCTCAGGATCTCTTTGAGTCTGGTCTCATTGGCGTTATCGCTTAACTGCACATGGAACTCGACTTTCGTAGGATCCGGGATGAATCCGGCGATCTTCAGCCCTCTGTACACGTCCCGCAGGTCGCTCTGCATCAGAGTCCTGTCCAGAGCGTCTTTCGTCGAAACCGCTAAGCGTTTGTACATCGTCGATGTGGAGTCGTTCAGAGCGGTTTCGTACGCCACGGACTCGTGACCGATACGGTCCAGGCCGACGCGCAGGGTGTACGTGTAGGTCGCTAAAAATCCGTCCTCACGTTATCGCTCGCAGCACCAACGTCGATTAAATCTTAACCTGAATTTAAACTCCCTTCGGATAAAGACTTAAATTCATGTTGGGGATGCCATACTTGAAAACTTAGCCGACAAAGTACCGACTTCCTTCTGCAAAGTTTACGTCGTATTGGCTGTACAGAACTATGTCTTATTTAATCTTTCACTAATCATGTTATCTTATTTTGTCTCATCTTTCGTGTCGTCTTATTTTACCAATCATGCTAGTTTATCAGGATTTCTCACAATCGCTAGTTTGCCATCGACTTTCGCATCCCTTTAAAGTTTAAATCGAAGAAGCAGATTTGGTTCTCACAGCCGGAATTCGCTTTCGTTCGGCCGAAAAGCGTTTGATCGTCCCCATTTTCAGATCGACTGATTTCTCGGTATATACTTTCGCGTATTCGGAAACTTACGTTTGCAAGGGCGATCCGGGAACATCCTCGCGAATCCTGGCCGACACACGCATCTCATCTCGGTTCCCACTTCAGCGCATATCTCGGACTTGGACGATTTGCATTCCGGTGTGCATTGGTTCGTAACGGGTGTAAGGGGCACCACTGGAGCGCCTAAAACTCCACCCGCGAGCACTCTGTGCACTTCGTTGCCGGTTGGGTCTTGCTCATCGCGGGAGACTTCCTCTCCGTATTCAGCCTCCACCTGAAGAACAAACACATATTCGGAAATAAAGTATATAACCGGCTCTACTGATATTCAGTCGGACAAATAAAGGAGATAAGGGGCTACTATTACAAAAATATTTGTTTTTAGCGCGGATACGTGAAAATTGTTAGTTTGCTTAGTTTAGTTAGTAATGAAAGCGTGGTTGAGTGAGCGATGACCCCGTTCTTAGGCTAGAAAGGGACATTTTTCTGTAACAACTAGTAATTATAGCGGATTGCATACGAGTATATCCGAATGTTGTTGTTACACCCACAGTGCACTCGCGAACAAATAAATTGGCGAATATAAGTTTGAGAAATTGATAAATGTTTTAATTAAAACCGAGTCCCCGCCACCACATACCACCGTACATAGGTTCTTATTGGCTTTTTCCCTTTTTGCCCGGCACATATTTATTTCGTCACAATTGCATTGGGTATAATTATCTCGAATTCTGTTAATTGTTACGATCGGCAGCGTGTAGATTTTGTGGATTTGCACCTCTTCCGCGCCGGGTGCCGGCGGTTTCTGGTCACTCATCACGACGAATATAGAGTCGTTGTCCACTGCGTTGTCGTACGACGACGGTATCCTGGTGACGATCGGTTGTAAGATCGTCGAGGTCACCGTAGAAACGACGCTTGTCGGGCGCAGCAGCGTCTCCGTCACCGTCTCCACCGTCGTGGTGGTGATCGTGTGCGTGAGCAGAAGCGTTCTCGTTGTCGGCGGCGAGCCCAGCACCGATGTCTTCGTTCTCGTCACTGTCGACGTCATGAATCGCGTCACCTTGTTCGCGAATATTATTAATTATTAATTGGTACACGGAAAAAAGACTCAGTTCTTGCACGTAAATAAGGGCCGAGTGAAAACTCGGTGATAGGAAATGATATCTCTGCGACTGCGAGAACGTTTATGTGAGCATTTAGCTATATTAAAACTTGGTTGAGGCTACTGACAACGATTGGCTGACAAGTAAGCGGTCGCAAGTATGCTTCATCGATTTCGATGGGCTGCGGATATGTTGTAGAGCGGCAAAAAATAATTAGGTCATATTTTTTTATATGTGCTTATTTCGACCTTCAGGGGTTGAAATCACCCTTCGAAAATAACAGATTTTTTTTCATTTTTAGCGAATATATATATATATATATATGACTATGAATATATATATATATATATATATATATATTTTTAGCGAATATATATATATATATATATATTCGCTAAAAATGAAAAAAAATCTGTTATTTTATATATATATATATTATATATATATATACGAATATATAAATTTATGAAATGGAAAGACATAAGTTAGGTATTGGTGAAGATAACTAGCCAATATACGATCTCTAGGAATCTTTGATAACTTGCTATTTGGAAACCGTTCGCACTTAGAGTGAAACCTGACTCTACTAGCTCTGCTCACTCTGTTCTACCATACTCTATCCTCAGAATATTATTTTCGAACGCAGCCCTAAATAATCTTTTTGTTCCTACAACCGAGTTTTCGTCTCCTTTTCCTAAGCAACGGAAAATTTCGTTACACTAATGGAATTGTTTTGTCTATGTAGATAAAAAAGAAGAAAAATTAATTAACATTCGGAAACATAATTGATAATATCGAAACGACATGTACCTCCTTTGGCTTCGTCCGTACGGTAGCGTTAGATTCGTCCTTAGCTACGCTGCTTGTAGTCTTCACAACGTTCTTGGTGAAATGAGTGGTCGAATCGGTAGGCTTGGAACCCGCCTTATTGTTCGGCACCGGTAACACCGTGTTGGTCACTTTAGTGATCGAACTGTCAACTCTGGTAACTATTATAGGCTGTTCTTGGCTCATCGTTTCGTTCACTGTAGCACTATATTGAATCGTTTGCGGTTTCTGCGTCCTGATCACATCCGTTTTCGATACGGTCGGATGTTGTTGCTTCTGCCGGCTCGTTTCCGCGACGGTTTTTAACGATTCCGTAGGTTCCACTCTCGCGGTGGACGGTGGGACGCTTTTGTAGCTGGACTCCAAGAATATCGGGTGTTCCGGTCGTTTGACAGGGTTCGGAGGGATGTCCATCATATGCGTCTTCGTGGGATCCACCTCGCGGTGGATCGTCGACGATCTGCTCGGTTGGATGTTATTTACTTGAGGTGATCGCAGCCTCGTTGGTATTACCAGATTTGTTGAGAGCGTCGATGTCGTTTGAATGGGTATCCTGCGACGTAATGGCATTAAGTGTCAGTTCGTACGCAGGAGAGATAGAAACGAAGAAATGAAGTATCAGTCGCGTACCTGGACACTAGTTTTGTATCGAAAGGCCGCACGGTGTAGATGCTGACGTGTTCGGTCATTCGTGTCTCCGCAGATTTGAGAATATCGGGCACATCGACGACGACTGGTAGGTCGACAGTGCCGTGGATAATCGGTATCTTCGACTCGATGTCCTGCACTACTGGAATATGAGACGTCGCGACCGCGGTGGCTATCTGTATGGAGCCAGAGACCGCGACGGCTGGTCTCACAGTAGCGATCTCGAGCGGCCTGGTCGTCGTCAATATTGGCGGTGGTGGTACCATGTCCTGAGATGCAATGAATCTTGTAAGAATTGTCCACGTTTCGCATTAAGAATTAATATTTCTTATTTATTTATTTATTTATTCAATTAATGAGAACGAATGAGAAGACCCTTTCGTGTACAAATTGCGGAACGGATGAGATTATGTAACATTAATCGATCATTCAGATTGCAAATACAAGAATTTAGGAATTATTCGAGCAAAGATAAATGCACTCGAGGAATTGTCAAAAAAGGTCAAGAGCGGTCCGCCAGTAATGACAATTATACGTGAACTCTTTGGAAAGGCCCGACACCCCCAAAGTCTCACCTGGGACAGCAGTTCTACGAGGAATGGTTTGGTGAGCGACGGTCTCGGGTTGGGTGGCACCATGCTCGTGCTGGGTAGACGCGGTGCTACCGTGCTGATTGATTCTTTCAGGAGCACATACTTCGGCGGCTTCAAGCCGGACTCGTCGGTCGTCATTAGAGCGAATCGGTCCTCCATCGGTATGTGAGTGGTGGTGATGTCCACCGGCGGTGGCGACAGTCCGACCACGTCGCTCGACGGCGGTGGCGGAGGTTTCAGCCCTTCCTGCTCGTTGGCCTGGCTCAATCCGACGTTCAAGGGCGGCGGCATCATGTTCCTGGAGGGGATGTTCATTTCCTTGAGATTGATCGGCCTCGTCTTAACCTCCATCTTGTTCTTGCTCTCTGTAGAGGCGAAGTTCGTCTGGTACGCTGAGTCCAGAATCTCGTCGTTCTTCTTATTGTGCGGCATATTATTCTTCGTGACCAACATACTCGGTGGTCTCTCGGTCTGTGTCTTGCTGTCCACTTCCTCACCCGTTGCCTCCACCGGCATGGAGAACTTGATGCTCGGGCGACCATGCATCTCCAGTCCCGCCGTGCTGCTCGAGACGATCACCGGTTCTGGCACCTTGGGCTTCGGCTTCGTCAGGATATGAGGATACTCCGGGTGCACCCTCGTGCCGTGCTCCGGACGAACGATTGGACGACTGTTCGCAGGCGGACGAGATACAGTGCTGTTCTTGTACTCGATCAGTCTCACGTTGGTCTGACCGGCATGGGAATCGTGTCCAGTTGGTATCTTCTGTTGAAGCTTCACGATGTCCGCCCCCACGTTCCAATTCTGCAAATCGTGACTCGCCTTCAGTCCGTGATCCAGTGTCTGGTTGGCGAAGGTCTCCGAGACGTTCGGTTTCGCGTCTCCCGGTCGCTTCACAACATAATCGGGTCTAACTTCCAGCTTTATCGGCGGTTTCGTCAATATTTCCGGTTTCAGATACAGAACGGGCCTGGAGTCGGGCCGGACCGGTTTGGGATACGGTCTACCCGGTCTGTCCGCTTCAGCGCCGAAATGAGGTATAATCGCGGGTGGCTTCAGGTCAATAGTATCGTCACGTCCGGGCGAATTCGCCGTCGCGAATAGTCCGTCCTGTTTCTTCTGAGTCAACGTCGAACCTACGTGCCCGTTGTGAGGAGCGGGTATGCCATGAACTATCTCGTAATCGGGCTTGCCTTCCTTCTGTTTGTAGCCGTAAGGAGCGGCCGGGTCCAGCACGTATCCATTGTAAACGCCGAAGGGCTTACCCTGCACCACAGGTAATTCATAGGGCCTCGTGCTGTAAGGATCTGCGCCGTGCGATCCTGGCAACATCGGTTTGCCGTCTATCTCGTATCCGAATGTCACGCCTGGTTCTTGCTCAACTTCCAGCGGTTTGCCCACCACCGCGTTGATGGAGACCACCGTTCCATAGGGAGTTTGCGAATTCAGGCTCTGGTTGATGCCGTGCGAGTACGGTGAATTCAACGTGTCCTTTTTACCCGGGCCGCCGATCGCTTGGCTATTATTGTCTCGTTCATTGTAACGATTCTGATAATTCACGTATTCCGAGGCGTCGATTGCGGAATCCGGTAATGTCTGCTCCGTTTGAGCATGAGTCTGCCACTTCTCGAGTTGATCTTCCGGCGGTTTCGCGCCTACCTGAGGATACTTGGTGTCTCCCGACGCTGGATACGAAGGATTGTGATACTCAATCGCTCCGGTCGGAGGGACGCGATTGTTCTGTTCCGTGAGTGAATGCGGCGTCGCGAAGTTACTCGCGTTCTCCGGGTAAATATGCGGCGGTCTCTCCTCGTGGTCGAGCTGAAGGGTGAACCGATTAGGCGGTATCCTGGTGGGCTCCTGGTGGGGCTGTGGACGATTTGGCAAGGCGAAAGTGTTCTGCGCTTTTTGCGCCGGAAGCCGCTGTGGCCCGGTGTACGTTGGTTTCCGGAACGGCGGGTATCCAGTGGGCCGTTCCACGAAGACGTGTTTGTCCAGAGGACGGTCAGACGTTGGTCTTAGTACGGGTCGCGGCCTCGGTCGGTTGTTCAGTGCGAATCTGATCGGCTTCTTGTCGGATTTCCAATTGGCGCCCAATGTTATCTCGTTGCCAGCATCCGGCTTGCCGAGGAATATGTATCTGTGCGGGACTTCGCCCGACGAAGAGACTTCCGTACGCCTCGGTGGAGCTTGTTCCATCGGGCTCTGACCTTTCGAGAAATGACCGCGCATCGGCGGCTGGTGAACCGAATGCACGTGAGGGTGAATAGACAGGGCGGGTTGCGGGCGAATGTTGATCATCTCCGGCTTGTGATGCACGAGAATTTCGGTGTGAACGTGACCTTGGCTGGGACTTCCGGATGCGTCGGGACGCTTGATCAGGTGCACTTCGGACGGTCTTTTATCGGGTCGCAGTAACGGAGTTTCTGGCGTTTCCTGCGGCTTTCCGTACTCCAACCGTACGGGTGACAGCGGAATGGCGTGTGGACGGCCGGGTAAGTTTGGTTTCGACGAAGCGGGCTTAAAGTTAACGGGTGACGGAGGTGGCGAGGGAGGGACCATGTAGTCGGCTGGGTCTTTCTCGCTTGAGTATTGAGGCAGGTCTTGGACCTAAATGCGTGCAATTGTAAGAAAATAGTGAATCAGTTAAAAAAACAATGAGTAAAAAGTGAGACTTTTCCAAATAATTTGCACGTTTAAAGTTAAATTGTCTATTATATCGTTTCTCTGTAAGAAGTTGAAAACATTTATAGCGGACTCTATAGTGAGAATTAATGAAGAGTATTTTAAACTTAATTTTAAAGGCACATATAATATATATATATATATATATATTCAGATATAATAAAATTCTTCGCAAGAAAAAGCAAAAATACATTTAATGAAATTATTATGGAATTTATCGTCAGTTTATGTGCTATGATATCATTATTATGCAATATTTCTACAATTTGTTTATCGAGGTACTTGAAAATACTGATATTGGAATCGCCTTTGTATGTACCTTCTGGACACCGACGAAGCCTGGTCCAACTTCAGGTTCCGGATAAGGTGAAGGATCGTCGAAATATTGTCCGCTTATATGAGGCTCGTTGGTGTCCCCAAAAATCAGTGCTTGTGTACCTCCTTGAGGAATCACGACTTTGGCCACTTGGCTAGGTTGGATATTGACTAACAGAGGTTGCCCTGTGGATCTGTCGATTACGTGCGGGACTTGATGAACTATCGGTCGAGTGGGAATTGGTTTTGACTCGGAGCTTTGAATGACGATAGAGGTTTCTGGTAGCAGAGGGTCTTTCTGCGCCCATGGTGGTCGTTTCTGTTCTTCGGACGGCAATATAGTTGGACGAGATTTCTCGACCGGCTTATCCGGATGAATCTATAAAGAGATCATCGTGTAACATTCGTATTCACAATATCCGTATCAGATAAATGCACAAGGTGTCGCATCGATATACAGGTCGGTATGACGAGTTGCCAACTCACAGGCAGGCGCGCGTACTCGGGCACAAATTCAACACGATATACTCGTTCACAGAACGATTCATTTTTCTAATATATAAAATATAGAATAATATGTATACATTGTTTTGCAAGCGTATATATTGTCAAATCTGAACTGAGTCCATCTTCGAGCTCGCTGATTTGCTGACGTTGATGCAATATCCTGTGCAATGTGTGTACAGAAAGAGGAATTTAATTTAATCACTCGAATTGTTTATTCGCTAATGCTGCAAATATTATAAAATATTATCATTGCATTATATTGTGAGAAATATTGTACACTGTGATTTTGCTTTTATAAATATTGAAATAATTATACAATGATATTCCGAAGAAATGTCCCGAATTTGTTCAATTTTGGAAAACTATCATATTGAAACTGAATTCAGACAAAACCATTGGATCATGGCAAATTATCTTAGTACGATATCGAGTATGAAATTTTCGTCAGTTCAGTTCCTGATACCATTATTGCGCAATGTTTCCACAATTTATCCTATCAGGGGTGTCTACTGATCCTACTGAGTCGCTTCATCGAATTTACCTCGTCATATATCGTAGGCGACGAAGGTAGTACTAAGGGATCTTTGGCGCTCCAGGGTCTTCTGTATTTCTCCGGACTCCATTCTGGAATCTTATGGCTCAGGTTGGGATTTGCGTATTGCTCCACGTTCGGTCTGTCGGGTGGTTTCAACAAGGGATCGTTCGCCAAGATATCCTGCTTCGATCCAGTCCTATTAGGCGGCGGTGACGGCTGAATAGGGTGCAACTTCTGTGGTTGCTTAGACGCTGTCGGATGACTCGCATCCAGGGGGATGGAAACCGGCACTTTCAGGTGTTCCTCGTAGACCTGGTGCGCTGGCAAGATCTGTATTTGCGGGCCTGGCGCGCTCGGCTGAGCCTCCGCGTCTTCGCGCTCATTTTCGACGACCTCTAGCACAGGATGCACCGGGATATTCGGCACAGGCAGTGGAGGAGGCTTCATGCCGTCTTTCAGGTAGGTTTGCGGTGGTCTCGGTGCCATCTTGCCGGGCTTCCCTATGATAACGTCGCTGTTCGCGGTGATCACCTCGCCGGGAGATATCGGTATGCCGTCGGCGAGGCTGCTGGTCACTTTGTGACGCGTCTCAGCGATGTAATTATGATTGAGATTCGCCAGATGAGCGGCTACGAAGAGATAAAATTGAAAATTTGAGAAATTTAGAAAGTTGAACACGATTTGACCTCCGGCTTGGCGCCGCCGCCTTATACGGATTTGCCTTTCGTGCATATTCCAATATACTTCTCTCAAAAAAGAGGAACAACCTCGAACGTTCACGAAACAAATTCACATAGAACGCTGCACCAATCCGAGTCAAGCGTTTCTCCGCTTTGAAAACGAAACGGATCGAGAAATGAAATTCCGACGATCTCGGAAGAGAAAGAGAGAGAGAGAAAAAGTGAGTCACCTATATTTTGGCTTTCGGCAGTTTCGATATCACCGTCGGCGAATTCCGCGACCGGTATGTAAATCGGCGATCTTTGCGTGGTGACCTCTTGGGTCTCGGCGGGAGACGCGGTATCGTTCCGACGAGTGGCGGCCGAGGCGGTCTTTCCTTGCAGTAACCCCGCCATCGCCGTGATCACCGGTCCCAGGGCGGACAGACTGTTGATTCCTAGGGAACCGAGACCGAGGAGATTGCCGACCTGGAGATCGCCTCCGGCTTGAGAACTGGGTCGTTTGTTTTGCGGCTCGTCGCCCGATAACGCGGTACCATTATTATCCTGTACGAAAGAGTCCCGTGAAATGCGAGCGTTCACACAAGATAAATGCAAACAAGATGCGTACAATTGGATATATTTCATTCGGATTTCATGAGAAAAGCGCCGACGGCTTTCTTCTTTATTTATTCTAAGAAGATCATCATCATAAATAAGACATGCCTGCTTGGTCGAGTCCGCCGGTTTCATACCGGAAGCCCCGTTCGCCGACGACTGATCCGTCGCAGCTGTCGTGCTCGCGGAGGTCTTCTCGTCCTTCTTTATTTCCGGGAAAGCAGTCGCTTCCTGCGCACTCGTGGTCGTGGTCGGATCGATCTGGTCCTCCTCGTCGAAGAAGATGATCGTCGAGCCCGTGACGACGTTCTTCACCGGGTCAGAGTGGTGCGCGGTCGTCAACAGAGCGTTCATGTAGCCGGCGTCCAGCAGACTCGGGGCGATCGATTCCGTCACGACGTTCTCGACGATGTGCGAACGAGACGTCACGGTCGTCGACGTTTCACCGTCCGGTCCGGCCTGGCGAAAATTTCGAAAGAATTTCTCTAACATGTGGGCACGTAAGGGGGAGAGGGGGGGGGGGGTTCTTGCCCAGACGACAATTTTTTTTAGCGAAATTCGTCATTTTTTTATTTAAGTCATTGAGCTTATATATGTAAAGGGTACATATATATTTTATGATTGTATTTATCATATCATTTTTTAGTTAAAATTTAAACAATTCCCTTTAAAACGATCCCTCGTTGACCTTGATAGCTTAATATTGATCAAAGGTATGATTTTTTAAACGTGCTAGAACATGTATGTTCCGCCGGAAGAGTTAAAGAAAAGAAGAAAATCAAAGTTCGTGGAAAAAGTCGTCTAAAACCAAAATTCCCCCTTAACTCGCGGTTAAAAAAGGTCGCTGCGATTACCTGCAGCAACGTCGTGAAGTATGTGAAGGTGGTGAGATATGTTTTCGTAGCGAAGATCTGTATAGGCTCCGGTGTGGGATTGATCGGCGCGGGCTTCGTGGTCGTTTTCCGTACCGGTACTTTCTCCAGCACGACGTCGGTCGACGTTGCCACGTTCGTGCGGACTACCGTGCTGCCTTTCTCCAAAAATGTATTGAAATACGTGTACGTGATGTAATACGTCTTCGTGATATCCGTCATGCTGCCATCGGTGTTGTCCAAGGCAGTCAAGGTGGTGGTGACGCTGGTTGGTCGCGGCGGAGGCGCCGATTCCGTCACTATTAGCTGGAGAAAGAATCACGAAGGAAGAGGAACGATTGAGCGTGCGATATCGTGCTGGAGATACGCGGATGTAAGCGGAGGGGCAAGCTAACCTGAGTAATCGTGTCGCTGATCGTTTCTACTTTTGTCCGGCCTTCTTCCATAAACGTCTTCTCTAACACCCTGGTGCTGAGGTACGTATTGGTTTCCGGTCGCGGGGCTTCGGACGGCTCGAGAATCATGTCTAGGTAATGCTGCGGTGCGGTAACCGTGTTCGTTATGACTTTCGTGCTACTTTCTAACGCGTCGTCCGCGTCCGGGTGGTCGGTATTCAAAGTCAAATACGTGTAGGTGGTTTTGAACACTTCGGTGCGCAAAGTCGGTGACGCTTCCAGAGTCACGGCCGCCGTCTCGGAGCCGGGCTTCCTGTGCCGCTCTTCCGTCGCTGTGTTTGCCACCACCTGGAAGCGGAGGTAATACAAATTGTTTCATTGATAACAGTCTATATTTTCCAAATAAGCTCTCGCGATCGTCTGAACAAAGTAAAAAAACGCGATAAAAATGTATATATTTGTTTCCCAGTTACAACCTTAATAGAGAAAAACATTTATGAAATTATATTACAAAATCTTGCATAAAATTGTGATTTGAGAAAATATAATAGAAATATTGATATTTTATAAAATATTAATAATTGTTTGCACAGTTGAGAGAAATATTTCAACTACATTATGTTTAAAACCTTTAAAAGTGTAACTGTGCCTGAAAACATCAAATTAATACATATATATTGTAAAAATGCACAATCATATCTAAATTATAATTTATAAATATTGTAATATGAAATATATATTAGATATATATTTAGTACGTCAAAACTTTAAAAAGGAAACAAGCATTTTTAAAACATACACAAAGAAAAAATAAGTAAATACAAAGTTTATTTAAATATTCATATATGCTATTCATATAAAACTCTCTGCCTCTCTTATTTATTTAAATTGATAAACATTTAAGCAATTTAATCATTTAGATTGAAATATTTTTCCCGCAAATGCTGCAAATATTACATAATGTTATGTTGTATTACATTAAAAAAATATTGTAGGTTGTGATTTTGCTTTTAAATATTTAAATAATTGTAATGATATTCCAGAGAAATATTCCCAATTGGATTTGTCTAATTTTGGATAAGTATTATTTTGAAATATTATTTAGACAAAACCGTTACGTTATGACGAATTATCTTAGCGCAATCATTGCGAAATTTCTCGTCAATTCACGATGCCATTATTGTGCAATGTTTGCCTATCGGAGAATAAATTGCCACGTCTTATTACTTGCCACAAAAATTCAATAACCATAATAAGAATAATTTATAATTAAGGTCTCTAAATGACAAACTACTATTATATTATTATTAAGAGCCCTCAATTATAAATTATAATTAATATTAATGACAAGTTAAATTTTAATGACAAGTAATAAGATATCGTGGCGGTTGGTGTTTCACTTGGACAGGTGTATGTATAAACGTGCGTTTGTGTAAACACCTGTTGCTCCGTAGAGACGGTGGTCGTTCCATCCTTAGTGATCGTGCTGAGATACGTGAAAGTTGTTGTGCAAGTCTTCGTGACAAACTCGTTCGGTTTATCCTGCGGGAGTAGCATAACCACCGCGTCCGATAAGGTGAGGGTAGGTTGAGGATTCGAGTTCTCCCATCGTAGAGCCGGAGTCGGCCCAGCGACGATCACTTCCACGCCATTCGACATGACGCGGGTCGCTAAGTTGAATCTGCGTCCCTCTTCCTCATCCTTCGCCTCGTACTCTCCTGTCGTTGTAATTCCATAAATAACGGTTCACGGAGTGTCGTGCGCGGTGTCCCGAAATTATCGCACACGAAGCTTCAATAATTTCTCGAAATTTGCTCGATATTTGTGCTCAATTTTAATTGCGTCAGAGAATAATTAGAACGGAAGTATAAAATTGCAATTGTCAAATTTCAACGATCGATATCTGTACGGTAAACGGAAATATCGTTATCCGGGACCACGCGTGTATTAAATAATTAAATACTATTTTACAGTCAATTTTCACGGTAAACACGTATTAAATAAATAAAATAACGATGTTCTTCCCACCGTGACTCGACAGGTTGAAGATCGCGCGACCTCCGGAACAGCAGTGCGCGCGAATATGTGATACTCAGTCAAAATCGTAACACAGAAACTTACCCATCGTCGATGTTGCACAGACCACAACGATCAAACGTCTAAATTAATATGTATAGAACCAAAGAGAGAAATCATGTACATTCGGATTATGCAATTAAATGTATGATAAATTTTTACAGAGAAAAGAAGTAAAGTTGTATATGTGTGTGTGTGTGTATAATATATAGGGCGAGATTAATATTTTCATATGTATATGTTCTAGAGTAAAGGGAAACGCAAATTTCAATATGTACAGCGTCACATCCGATCATATACAATATGTACATTTCATACAGAGTCGTAATGTACAAAAAACAATTTAGAATACCAAAAGCCAATTAACATAGTATTTGACAGAGCATTTACACAGTAGCAGTCTGTCTCGTACGTGTGTCGGACCGAATTCGCGGGAGGTCGACGTAGCGAAATAAAACGGTATATTAGTCTAAGGATTATGTTATACGGCGATCACCGTGTGCACGGTTGACGTTGACGAGCCGGTGTCTCTCGTTCATTCTCTTTCGTCAAATTCGCGAGCCCGACAGCACGCGAGAAAAGAATCTCAGTTTCCGCAACCGAACGAGGACCAGATGAAAACTCAGCGACAAGAAATAAAAACTCGACGACGAGAAATGGTATTTCTATTACCACGAGGATACTCCACATTGAGGATATTCGTGTGAACATTCAGTTGCATTAAAGGTGATAGAAAGATTTGAACTTGTGAAAAGTCGACTCGTTATACTGAAAGATAAAAGAGAAAGAGAGAGAGAGAGAGAGAGAGAGAGAAAGATTTATAAAATATTTCAGACTTCCCTTTTCCTCTAACGATCAATAAATAATCGTAAAATTAACACTACATGCAATCTTCTATTTTAGCTTATCTTCTCTTCCGATTTTGTCACGTTAATTTTATAATTATTTATTGTCTGTTAAAATAAAAGTGGGAAGCTCCCGGAATATTTTACAAATAAACTCGATCGGTCGCAATTATTATTATTCCACCAACGAATCCTTTTATTTCAATATACACCGCAGGAATTTCGGGCATAAATTTTCTCGCTCTACCAACGGCATTAATTAAGACGGTTGTTGCAGGTGGCCTTAAAATTCGGCCGAGAGCGACTGAGAGCGACTGGTTGAGGCAGAAACCTCCCGCAGGAATTTTTCCTGCAACCTACGAGTTTTCATCTGGTCCCGAAGTAACGGAAAATTCAGTTATACTAACGGAGTTGTTTCTTCCGTGCAGCTACCGTTCTAACGAAGACGCGGTGTGTACCCACTCCGGGCTGACACACGGAAGATCTTCCCGAACGTCTTCCGTGCACGGTGCGATCACTCGCTGGAGAGAGAAAGAGAGAGAGAGAGAAAGAGAGAGAGATAGAGAGAGAAAGAGAGGTGTCTCAGATGGGCAAAAGGGCTACTCACCGGCAACGGGTACTGGATTATACACAGACGATACGAAGCTGGCTGACGACTCCACGGTAGGAGTGACAGTCACCGTGACCGGCACCGTCAGCGTAAGTGTCGTCACTCTCGGTCGTACGGTCGTCGACGATGTCACTTTAGTCTCCAGTCCGTTAAGTTGCGTCACCACGTACGTGTACGTCCTTAAACGCGTCGACGTCACTACCGTTTCAGTGTAATAGACGCTCGTGCTGGGCTCGAGGTCCGGGGTGCGCTCGGTAGCCGAAACGACCGTGGCTGGCTTGGACGGTAAGATCTCGGGGAAGTCGAGGCGGGAGAGCGACAGGTAGAGATCGTCCGCCAACCCGGCCTCGATCTCCTCCGGCGTGGGCGACGCGATCTTGCTGGTGACTTTCGTCGCGGGGGTGCTTTCAGGTTTAGCGTCGCGACCCGCGCCGAGGGGTATCACGCTCGGCACGCTCGAGTCGTCGTCGTGCCGATAAGCGGACGTGTCGGGCTCGCGGCTCGCCGGTTTCGCGGTCTCGAGCGGTATCACGCTGTCGAAGCTCGGCGCGATCGTGTCGTTCGATAAGAGGACGGTTTCGGGGATTTGGGTCGAGCTGGAGTCGAGTTTCACGTTCGGTCGGATGGGTCGCACCGTCGGGATCTCTTCGGGGCTTTCGCCGGGAACCTCGGTCGACTCTCGACCTTGCTCCTCCGCCTCGGGCGTCGTCGCCTCGGTTACGGAAAAGATGGGCGACTCCGTGGTGTCAGGTATCGTGGTGTTCTCCTCGTCGGGGGGGTCCGTCGTCGATTCGTCGGCCACGCTCGACGTCACGGGCTCATCCGCCAAGGTGGTCGACTCTTCGGTTGTCTGCTCTTCCGTCGTTTCTTCGATGGGAATAAGAGTGGTGGTCGGTGCTTCGTCGTCCGATACATCGGTGCGCATCTCCGTGGTGGTCTCCTCTTCCGAAGCGGTGTCGATCGAGACCACGGTGTTCGTCAGCGCGTCGTCGGATTCCTCGCTCATTTCCGCGGCTGGTTCTTCCGTCGGTAACTGCGACTCGATCTCGCTCATCGGCGTCGTCGTTACGTCGCCGACGTCTTCCATTCGCGCGTCTTCAACGTCGCTCTTACCGGACACGATGTTGTCTTCCACATTAGGGAAACTCGCCTCGGTCGTGGCGTGTTGCTCGTCTTCTCCCGAGACCACCGCGACTTCGTCGGCATTCTCGCTCGTGGTAGTTGTGTCGACGAAATCCTCGTCTTCGTACTCCTCGTCGTCGTCTTCCTCGTCGTCGGACGGCGGGAAGAAGAAGTTGTCGGTGATGATCACCGGCTCGTCCGACGTGCTTTCTTCGGAGACGGCAAAGCTGGCTTCCAACGACGCTGGACCGTCGTTCGGTTTGTTGTCGATGAGATTGGGTATTTCTTCCAGGCCGGGCGTCGAGACGGTGTGATCTTTGTACTCGACTCGCTCCTTGTCTTCCTCCTCGCTCGTCTCCTCTTCGTCCGAATATTCCTCCTCGTATTCGGAGGAGGCCACGGTGAAGAAGCCGGTGGTGATGATGGCGAAAGTCGGCGTCGGTTCTATCGGTCGCACCGCGACCAGCTTCTTCCGGGTGACTCGGACCTTGCTCTTGGATGCCGACGATACCGGCGTCGGTTGGAGTTTCCTGCGCCTGGTGATGGTCACCTTGTGCCTGCCGGCGGGCTGGCCCGGCCTGTCGAACGGATAGGCCGACTTGCTGAGGCTCCTGACTCGCGTCACCACGACTCGCCGCGGTGCGTTCGACGCAGATTCGCCACTTCGAGACGCCAAGGGTCGGCGCCTCACCACCGTCAGCTTGTGCTGCCTGGCGCTTCTGCCGCGCACCACCGGCACGCGGATTCGCACGCGCTTTCGCGGCTCCTTCCCGGGCGTAAGAAGCTCGTCGTCCTCCGCGTCGAGCCTCCCGACACTCGCGTCGTCCTCGTTCGCGGACGTCCACGCGCCGTCCACGCCGCCGTCTCTTTCGCTCTCGACGTACGTGCTTCCGTATCGCACCGATTCGTCGTAGAGATCACCTGCAACGGGGCGACGTGTCCGCTAGTCTGAACCAGTAGAATATCCCCACCTGGCGGTTAAACTCACTCCGCGCGACTCTCTACACCGAAGTCTACGCGATTAAGCAGAGTGCAACGAGGCAAAGCCTGTCCCGGGGGGAGGAGAGCCGCTTTTTCGTGCTGCGTTACAGATCGGTCGTGGGATCGTGTCGACGTCTCGCATCATTCGTATCTCTCGAGTACTCTCGGTCCGATTTTGGGCTTTTGCCGGGGGAGGGGGGGCTACTTTTCTTTCGTTTTTTTTTTGCGCACGCATGTATTCGTTCATTCTGCCGATATTGTTTCCGGCGGAAGAGAAGTACCGTGTCCGGTTTCGTCGTGTGGGCGCGCGTGCGGCGGCGTCGGCGGATCGAGAGAGGCTGTGTTAGTCAGGAGGAAACGTGGGACGATGCTCGAGAGGGGGAAGCTTTCAGAAGGAAATAGAAGAAACGATATCGAGAGAAAGAAAGAAAGAGAGAGAGAAAGAGAGAGAGAGAGAGAGAGGTTCGAGGAAAGAGGGGGAGAGTGAGTCGGAAACAAAACGAAACGCGGGTCTGGTAGAGCCAACGTCGCGCGATGGCTCTCGTGTTTCTCTTCTTTTTCGTCTTTTTTTTGTTTTTTGAAGCTTTGCGAGCCTCGTACGACCCTTTTCCTCATGCGAGAACTCCCGAGAAAAGGGACCTACGGCAGTCGCGGGGTTATCTGTTATATATTACACACGCGGCAACCTTGACTTTCATCAACGTTGCTCGCTCGACCCACCGTGAGACGCGCCCGGAGAAGCTGGACCGACGCTCTCCGAGCCGGAGGGAAATTCGGGGAAGGCCTCGGGGGGCGGTTTTCAGTGGGCCTCGAGATGAGGTTCGTGAAGGTGACGATGAGGAGACCGGAAAAGGGGGAAGAGGATACGGGAGGGAGGGAGGATACGGAGAGGGAGGTTTCACGGAGTTTCGAGAGGTAGCAGGGTTAGGTATAGATGGACGTGGAAATATGCCGTCCGACGTCACCCACCACGCTCTCGAGACTCTGTGTTGGTGCGTGCGCGTCAATAGGGTCTTCGCTTCCCGCCAGGATGGCGACGGCCGCCGGCCCGGCGTGCAACGACGGCGGGACGGACGGCCGGACCTCGACGGCGCCCTCCGGGGCGTGTCTCCGCCTCCTGGACGGGGAGTCGACCCTCACGGTGCTCAAGACGGTGCTGAACTCCCCGGGTCGGCGGCCGGAAACGTAAAGCGTCACCACGCTGGACTCCGCCTTGGGCGCGAAGGAGGGCTTCGCGTCGTTCGACTTGCCGCGCGATCTCGACGGCTTCTTCCTGTACTCCGCCGCCTCCTCGTCCTCCTCCTCGTCCTCGGAATAGCCGTCGCGTCTGTAGTCGGAGTCGGCCGGCTGGTGCCTCCTCTCGACCTCCCCCGGCAGAGAGTTGCTCTGCGTAAACGGAGCGGCGGCGAACAGCGGGTCCAAGAGCGGATTCGAGTTCAGCTGCGGCTGCTGCGGTTGCTGCAGCAGCAACAGCAGGGAATTCAGGTTCGCCGCTGGTATCGCGGCGGTCGGCGTCACCACCACGGTGTCGGTGATGAATTCCGTCGCGGTGACGACGTCGGTCGACGAGTCGACCAGCGTCGTAAGGATCTCCTTGCCGCGGAAGGTCAGGGGGATCACGGTGCTCTGCTGTTTCGTGATGGTCGTCACGTAGGAAGTGGTGCGCGTGTTGTACCGCGTGGTGGGTGCAGCCTGCGGCTGCAGCAGGGGATTCGGCTGGCCCAGCTGGCCCAGGAGCAACTGCGACAGGAGAATATTGGCGAGGGGAGGGTTGCTTGCCGGCAGGGAGGGCTGCACCGTCGAAACGATGTTCTCCACGGAGTACACCGTGGTGGGCACGATCACCGATTGGGAGACGCGACGGCCGCCGAGGCTGGTGAGGGTGTGCGAGATGCGAGTGGTCGCTGTCTCGTGGAGCAGGAATCGCGTCACCTCCGGCTGCCCTTGGACATTCGCACCGGTGACCTCGGTGACGATCACGACGAGCGGCCTGCCGTCGCCGGCTACCACCGTGCTGTACTGGCTGGGCCCGAGCACCTCGGTGCTGGGCTGGGCGGTTACGATGTTCCGTTGCTCCGTCACGCCGTTGTTCACCACGGGGATCGTCACCTCCGTCGGCACGTAGTGCGTCACGGTGATGGTGCCGTCGAAGTTCGGATACACGGTGGGCGCCTCCCGGATGTCCTCGTGAGCGACCCTGCTCCTCGTGGGCACTCTCCTCCCGTGGTTCCTGTTGTTGTTCGCCGACCTCGGGGTGCTGCGAGACGGCGGCACCCTGCGCGAGTTCCCCGGGGACTCGGTCGGCGACTTGGACGGCCCGCTACGCAGCCTCGGCGGTCTCACTCGGCTGCTCTCGGTCGGCTTCGGCCGGCTGTTCGCTCGCGAAGTCGGTCTCTTGTAGCCCGATCTGTTCAACGAGGAGTCCTTGTCTCTCAGCGTGAACTGCCTGCTGCCCGAGGCCGGCGACGGCTTTATCCGGACGTTTCTGCTCGACGTCTGCTTCGTCCTGCTCCTCGGCTTGCTCTGCTGGCCCAGCTCCGCGGTTTCCGCCGACGACTGGTCCGACGGGCCGTTGCCCGTCTTCTGGTACGGCCGCAACGTCGTTAGGCTCCGCGCGCGATTGTTGTATCGCGCGATGGGTTTCGCCGGCTTCGCGTTGTCCTCTTTATTCGTCCCAGCCTCCGATCCGTCCGATCTGTCCTCCGCTTTCGCGGGTTGAGAGGGCCTGCGGAAACGAGTGCTCAGGGGGTGCTTCAGCTGACCGGCCTGACGACGGACTCTCCTCGTTCTCGCGCCGAAGGGTCTGATCCGCACCGCGGGTTCGACGGATTTCCCCGAGCGACGGTTCACGCTCGAGGACCGCCTGTCCTCGTGCTCCGAGCCCTCGTAGTCGTTATCCGAGATCTCCTCAACGGGCTCGTCCTCGAAACCCTCCTCGTCCTCGGCGTCGAGCTCCTCTTCCTGCTTCCTACCGCCGAGCAATCCGCGCGGCGGGAAGAGACCGGTGTTGCTCGGCCGGCTCCTCGTCGACACCGGCGGAGTCGCTCTGCTGTTCGCTCGTCCGTTGGTCACCCTGGGAACCGTCGGCGCGCTCGGCCTGTTCAGATTGCCCGATCGCCTCGGGGTCGTGGTCGCCGGCGGTCTCGGTGTGGTGGCCGATCTGCCGAGGGGTCTGCGGAAGCGCAATAGCGGATTCGTCGACCTCCTCGACGACTCTGTGGTGGTCTGCAACGGCGCGGTCACGGTCTCGCCGTCGAAGTACTCCGTGAACAGCGTCTCGTCGGTGAACAGCGTGGTCGTGGTGAATTCGTTCGCGTCGTTCTCCTGATCGTCGTGCCTGGCGCTGGGTTGCCCCCTCAGCAACGTGGACGACGCTCGGATGCCGGCCCGGTATCTCGAGGAGGCGCCGGGGAACGCGGAACTCGAGGCGCGACTGGCGACCCTGGCGGAAGATCCTCTTATCGAGGTCGGGCCACGTCTGTTGCCTTGGAACACGGACGACGGCGTTATCCTCGGCTGTCCTCTGCCCCGGGTGCTACCCGCCGGGAACGCCGAACTCGAGCTGGTGGCGGTTCCCCGTCTGCCCGCGAACCTCCTGGAGCCCGACGGGGACAGGGTCGAGGAGTACGGGCCGATCGGCGAGGTGACGCGACCTCTCGACGACGCGAACCGGTTGCCCTTACCGGCCAACGTAGCGGTGATCGTGGTCGTTATGTCCGACCGGGTGATGGTCGTCGCGGCTTGTGCGCCTTTGCGCTTGGGATTGAAGGTCGGCCGGTTCCTCGAAGCGAACGGCCTGATCACCGGCGTGAAGGTCCTCTTCCTCGTCGAGAACGTCAAACGCGACTTCTTCTTCGAGCTCTGATCGTCCTCGTCTTCGCCGCCCTCCTCGTCCTCCTCCTCGTTCTGGCCGGACTCCTCGTCCTGATCGGCCGACTCCGTCGTCGGCTCTTCGGACAACGAAGACTGGATCACCGCGGGAGAAGGCGAGATCGCGGGGATACTCGTCGCTCGGCTCGGCGGTAGAGTGGAGGTCGGCGCGATGGTGGCACTCGGAATCAGGAAGCTGGAAGTGCTCTCGATTATCTGAGCGTATCGTCCCTCGATGCTCGTGCCGATCACCTTCGACTGGTAGAACGTCGTCGTACCCTCATCCTCGATCTGGCCTTGAATCAGGCGCACCAGGCCGGTGCGGTGGCCCTGAGTCGGCTGGATGCTCGCTTTCCTCACCTCGTCTATCCTGGTGCTCGACGTGCTCTCGATCACCTTGGCGTAGAGCCCGTCGAGGAGCGTGCCGATCCGCTTGGTCGTGAAGTACACCGTGGTGACCTCGTCCGCGTCCACGACGCTGCCCTTGTTCAAGGACAAAACCCCCGTGGGCAAGACCGGCGTCGCCGAGGAGGAGGGCAACCTCTCCGTCCTCGTCGAGCTCTCCACCACCTGCGCGTACAGCCCGTCGATGTAAGTGCCGTACACGTCGGTCGTGTAATGCGTCGTGGTGCCTTCGTGCACCGCGCTCGAGCGTATCGTGGAGATCAGACCGGTCTTCGGCGCCTCGCTCACCTTTGTGGCCGTCACGCTCGGCTTCTCAGGCTCGGTACTCAGCGTCTGGATCGACGGGTAGACGGAGCCGCCGATCGCGCGACCGGTCGCCTGCTGCGTCGCCGGGATCGACACGCTGGTCACCGTCTCCAGCCTGCTGTTCAAGATCGTCTCGTTGCCGACGTAGGACGTGGTGAAATAGGTGAATGTGGTGTAGAAGGTCGTGGGCGAGATCGACAAGGTGTTGTTCGGCTCGTCCGCACTGATGATCCCCGGCGCGTCCTCGGTGAGTTTCTCCGACGCGCCGCTACCCAAAGGCGTGACCTCGTTGTCCGCGGTGACCTTGGGCTCTTCCTGCGAATTCACGGTCGGTTTGTAAGTCGTCGCCACGCCGAGCTCCATCGTGGGGGTAGGCGAGACGACGTTGCTGACGGTCTCCTCGCGACTGGTGGTCACGGTGTCGCCACCCTTGTAGAACGTCGTCCAGTAAGTGAAGGTCGTGAAGTACGTGACCGGTAGGGTGCTGGTCGGCTCCGGCGCGGCCATCAGGGACGGCCTCAAGGTCTCCGTGACGACGTTCGTGACGGTCTCCAAGCGGCTGGCGACGTTCGTCTGCTCGCCCTTATACATGGTCGTGAAGTACGTGAAAGTCGTGTAGCTGGTCTGCAGCAGCAACGTCGGCGCGGGCTCCACCTCGTGATTGTTCGACTCCGACAATTCTTGGTCCTCGGGAACGGCGTTCCTTTTGTCCATCACGTCCAGCACGGTGCCGCCGCCCGAGCTGGAGGACGACACTACGTCCGTGATCATGGAACCGAGGACCTCCACGTCGGCCGTCGGAGGGTTGGGCGTTACCTGCGCGCCCACTTGGTAATCGAACGAACGCTCGGTGGTGGAACGATCCTCCGAGGTGGTGGGTGTCTCCGTGGTCGTCGGGTCGGAGCCCTCGATCGGAGTCGTGGGCTCGTCGGGACGCGTCGCTTGATCGGCCTGGACCTTCTTCGCCAAGAGGAGCGCCTCTTCCTGAGACTTCTGCCGCTGAAGAGCCTCCAGATAAGCCAAGATTTCCGGCGGCACCGCGGCTTTGTTGCTCTCGACGGCCTCGGGTTTCGGCGTGGTCGTCCCGACCGTTTCCTGCGGAGCCGGCAAGACGGCGGTGGGCGTGATGGTCTCCGTGACGACGTTGGTGAAGACCTCGGTCCTCGTTTCGATCTCCGTCTCGTCGTCCACGAAGATCGTCGTGAAGTACGTGTACGTCGTGTAATAGGTCTTCACCTGCTCCTTCACCGCTTCGGTCGCCATGGCCGGGGTGGGGCTGGGTTCCAGTTCGGTGGTCCATCCGTCCGACGTCTCGAAGTCGTCCACGGTGGTGACGGACTCCGTCGGAGTGCTCTCCGGCACGGTGGTGTCCCGCTGTTGGAGAGTGGTCGGACTTCCCTCCGTTGTCTCGTCTTGGTAGACCTGCGGCTCGGTCGTGTGTTCCTCGGGTGCGTTCGTTACGGACGGCAGTACGCTCTGCGACAACGTCGTCGGTAATATCGCGACGGAGTCGTCCTTCTCGAAGAGGCCGGCGACCACGGCGGACACGCCGTTCGGCCCGATGGTCTGCGTGATCACGTTGGTCTCGACCACCTGCCGGCTGGACACGCTCGACGTGTTCTCTTGGAAGAACGTCGTGAGATACGTGTACGTCGTGTACAGGGTCTTGAAGATGAGCTCTATCTCCTCGTCCTGCTTCGTAGTCTGCTCCTCTTCGACCTCACCGAGCAAAGCCGGGGTCTGCTGCGTCGTATGCGCCGAGGTGGTGGGACGGATCGAGCCGTCGCTCGCACTCGGACGGATCAGTTCCGTCAAGTACGTCACCTCGGAGGAGACCACCTCGCGGGAGCGTATCGAAGTGGTCGTGCGGTCGTGCTCGTCCGGAATAAAGAAGGTCGTGAAGTACGTGAAGGTCTTGTAGACGGTGGACGGCAACAGTCTGGTGGCCAGCGTGGTCCTCTCCCGCGCGTTACCCGAGTCGAAACCATGCAGTTTGCGCTCGTCCGCCTGCAGGTCGTTCTGCGAGCCGCCCTTGATACTGCGCCCCTGCGGATCCCCCGGCACGATGTCGTTCGGGATCTCGTCGTCCAACATGGGCAGCACCGACTCGGTCGTGCCCAACACCCTCCTCGCGCTCTCCAAGATGTCCTTGAGGGTCGTCAGCACGCTGTCGGTCGTGCCTCTCAGCGGAGTCGTCAGCTCGTTCATCTCCTCCTCGATGGTCGTGGTGCCGGGCGTGGTGGACGGCGACATCTCGACGGTGGTACCTTGCTCAGGCTCGTCCGTCTCGGTGGTACCGTACTCCAGCGTGGTGTCGTCGGCCCCGTAGCTCACGGTCGCTTCGTCGGGGAAGAAGTACACGTTCGAGGACGTGTCGGTCACCTCCGCGTACTGCTTGCCGATGTACGTGCCGTAGATCAGGCTCTTGTAATGCGTCGTGGTGCCGTCCAACGAGGTGGTGGAGTCGACCACCTTCAAGAGTCCCGTCGGCCTGAGCGAGTCCGTCTCGACGTCGGGCAGCGGTTCCGTGGACACCGTCGACGACTCGGGCTCGACCTCCTCGGTCACGCTCGCTTGGATCTGCCCGTGATTGATGGCCCTCAGCAGCTGGTCGTCGGAGGCGCGGCTCGCGCCGGCCTCGTGCGGCTGCTCGGTCCTGGCGTTCTTCAGCACCGTCGTAGGTCGTATCCTCATGACCGGCGGGCCGTCGTTCGGTCGCAGAGTCGCGTCGACCTTGATCGTGGTGGCGGGCGGCCCCACGGGCGCCGGCGACGTGCTCGGCGAGAAGACGATCACGGTCTCGCCGACCGTGGTGGTGAAATCGGCGAAGCCGTGGTACGTCACCGTGGCGAGCGGCTTCGCTTCCGGCCTCCTCTGCGCCGGGCCCTTCGACGGGGACTTGAAGATCTTCGGCAGCCGCGGCCGGTAGCTCTTCGGCTGGGCCTCGTCGAGGGCGTCGAAGCTGCTCGTCACGTACTCCTGTTTCACCGTGTAAGTCGGCAGCGTGTCGGTCGGCCGGACCTTCGCTGGCTTGAACCGCTCCGGCATGTTCAGCTCCCTCTTGCTGAACACGTCGTTCTCGCGGGACAGTTCGTCCAGTCTGAAAGCGTGGCCGCTCCCCTTCGTTCGCTTCGCCGAATCGCTCGCGGAGTCCGCGTCGCTGTCGTTTCCGAGCGCCTCGATCTCCTCGATCGCCCTGATCGGCGCCGCGTTCTCGAGGGCCACTCGGAGCTGCCAGTCGTCCTCCGGCGCCCTCGACGGGTAAACGACGTAGGGACTGGCCGGCGTCGGTTCCCTGTCGTAGAACACTCTGCTGGACGTCGACAAGATTCTCGCGTAGAGGCGGCCGTTGTCGAGAGTCGTGCCGAGGATCTGCGTAGCGAATTCGGTGCTCGCGCCATCCTGCACGAATGTGCGCGCCGTTTTCGTGAGGAGGCCGACCGGAGGTACGGCCTGGCCGGGACGCGCCGAGACCAGGAGGACTGTGGTTACTTCTGAAGGGTGGTGCGTGTTCGAGAGAAGCGAAAGATCACGCCGGGAAAGTAAATGTGAGTTCACGGGGTGGTAATTCGCACGTCGGCGCGATTTTTGCGTCGTCGGGGGCGGGTGAAAGCGAGGGTGGTGTGTTGGGGCAAAACCGGGGGGGG